AATAATAGTTAATTGGATAATGAATGTAGAAGTACAGTGAAGGCCAATTAATCCGAAAAACGTATGGATAAAATTGGTGGGTACAATTATTTATTTATATACGAGTACATTGTGTTGACAGAACCTCCACAATTCCACGAGTTAGTTTAACATTCATTCATCATCAGTAATCTGTCAGACGACAGGTCCACAGTCTCTTCCAAAACAGTTTCTCCACTTAATGCGAACTTCTGTTTTTGGAAAGAGACTATCCAGGAAAGGTGATAATGTGGTAGTTTTTCCATTTGCTTTCCACATCGCAGTACAGCAGCCCTTCAAACCACTCTGGTCACGCCTGTTGCTATACGAACTTGAACCATCTAGAGCATCATTTGCTCTGTGCTTCAAGTCGCTGCTGATGACGCTGCTTCCGGCATCAGTTTTTGGTTTTTGGTGTCTCTCTTCGTCTGATGCCTACCATTTGACCTGTCCAGCATTGGAGGTCCTACCAGTAGCTACGCTACCGCTGGTATAGCTCTCAGGATCGTTGGCATACTCAAACCCCCTCACATTACTTTGTATATGCTGGATACAGAAATGTTTGATTACGTCATTTCTCTTTTGTCGTATACAATTTCCTTCTTCGTGGCACGTAAGGTTTAGATACTCGTATTAGTTGAATGAAACAAGAAACTAAGATTGGTTTTTGTTTCTTGTGTTTATATGTGTGACCTCCTCCATGGTCTAGTGGTCAGAGTTCCTGACTACAGATCAAGAGGTCCGGGTAGGAATCCCGGCGCTACCAGATTTTCTGAGAAGTAGTGGTTCTGGAACGGGGTCCACTCAGCCTCGTGAGGATAACTGAGAAGCTATTTCAAGGAAATAGGGGCTCCGTTTAGAAAACCAAAATTAATGGCCGTGGGGATTCGTTGCGCTGACCACGCGACACTCTCTATCCGTTAAAGTTGGCACTAACTTCGCCGACAAACGGCGGTCGCTAGGTCGGTATATTTCGTTTGCGGACTGAAACCACGGAGTCTGTTTTGTTTTGTTTTGTTTTGCTCATACGTGTTAGAGTTAGATTTAACTATACAAATATATCGAGGTTCCAAGACAATGTTATATGGAAATTGAATTAAATCCGAACAAAAGATAAAGGATTAAGGAACTGAGCTCTAAATTGAGTAACAGAAAATTAGGAACATGGGAATTGAACCGATGTATACATGAATACTCATTTTGTACACGTTTAAACCAATGGGCTTGATGCATACAATTCATTTTTCGTGAATGAAATAAGTCTGAGGTAGGAACCAACGTTTGTCCCAGTCTAGTATCAAATAACAACGTAAGTTTCCTGCTTCCTGTATTAGCAGCCATCCTCAACTTTCGCTCGAAAGCAAGCATCCTCACTAATTCAGTCTGCCCCTTTTATATTCTGCTTAATTAGAAATTTAAGCAGAACGGAGATTTCTCCTAAATGAAAATTTAATGATGCAATTTCGCACCTCCTGTGGGCTAAGATAAGTATTGAAATGCATATATATATGTTACAATTAATGATGAATATATTAACATTTTCAACTTTTAAATTCAGTTTTTTTTTTCAAAATGTAAACATGTCCATGAAATTTTCCTTTTAATTTCCTCATTCAGTATTTGCGTCCTTATACGAATTATGTTAAAATATGCTGCTTGATAATAAATAAATGTCTTTGCTTTCGTGAATTAAATCTTGAAAATAATTAAACATATTAATATTCTATAATTGGCACTTATCACTGATTCCAATCAATCCTACCTTCGAATTGGCGAGGCTTTACTCATGAACCCTCACTTCATTCCATTAACTAAGATACTATTTCCGCTTTTTACGACGGTCAGTTTATTTACAAGTATGGCTGAAGCAGTTAGGCACAATTTACTCCATTCCATAAACAAGTTTTCTACGTCTGCTTCCGGTTCATGTTTTTTTAGGGATATTGGTATTCGTACTGCGATCGAGAAACTTCCACTTTCCTTGCACACAAATGTTTTAAAATTACGAGTGTGCCTTCACATCTGCTCTGTACTTGTTAAATATTCCTACAAGAATGGAAGGCGAAAAATAATATTTACTTGTTTGTACGGTCTTAGTTGCCATTAAAAAAGTAGGTCTTGAACATAGAATACCTGTACATATACGTTTAGCAAATGATCAGGGGGCAGGCGGTAGCGTAGTTGGTTGAGGCACTATGCTACAAACCGGAAGGTCGCGGGATCGAATCCCGATGAGGTGGATTTTTTTCAATTTACCTAATCCTTCCAGCCGCACTATGGTCTTAGGGTCGACTCAGCCTCTAACAGAAATGAGTGCTAGAAATATTCCCGGGGATAAAGGGCGGCCGGTGCGTAAGGCTGACAAACTCACCCCTATCTGTGAGCCGACTCTCTAGAAAATGTGGGAGCCTCAGCGTCTCACAACTCTATGGGCCTCCACGGCCTGTTACAGGGATACATTTACTTTACTTTACTTTACTTTACTTTACTTTTAGCAAATGATTAAGAAATAGAAATGCGACAAATCTCACTCGTGGAATACAACAGAAAAAACATTAAAACCTGATGAAGGAAAGTACTTTCTTCTTCATTTCTCAGTCTCCTTTGCGATGTATGCCCGAGTTTTCTAGTCCACCAAGCACCTATTGTCAGATTTCCTATTATACACTCTTTCAGAAGGTGAGATTGTTAGCCACAAGTCTAACTCTAACTCTACAGGAACATGGACCATGTTTCGTCTTATCTGTATTGTTTAGCTTAGTACTAAACGGCAATATATAAAAAATGTCTTTTGTGACTGACTGTATAAATGTAAACAAAATGTAACGCCACTTTAATTTTATTTATATCTTGTACAGCTAGTCTTAACAGACACCAAAAATAAACTCCGTGGTTTTAGTCCGTAAGAGAACTATACCGACCGAGAGACCGCCGCTTGTCGGCGAAGTTAGTGATAAATTTTGTGGATAGAGGGTGTCACGTAGTAACCGCAACTGATCCCCACGGCCGTTAATCTCGGTTTTCTAGACCGGAGCCGCTACATCGTTTAAATAGCTCCTCAATTATTCTCACGAGGCTGATTGAACCCCGTTCCAGACCCACTACTTCTCAGAAAATCTGGTAGCGCAGGGAATCGAACCCGGACCTCTGGATCTGTAGCCAGGAACTCTGACCACTAGACTATAGAGGCGGTCAATACAAATCATATATAATACAAGACTTAACAAAATTGGTAACTGCCTTAACTCATAAGCAGCACTGCCCAATAACATGTAACGCCTATACATATCCTCTTCAAGGGACCTGATGTCATTTTGTTAAGATTTTAACATATATTTATAAAAATTAATGATATTGACAGCAAGGAGGCAGGAAAACGCTGTCGGTATAGCGACTAGCTAAGGAGTTGGACGGCCGGGTGTCGGAGTTCGAACCTCGGTAAGGGCAAGTTCTTTCTCTTCTTCGCGTCCTCCATACGCGTACATGGGCCCACACAGCCTCCTATCCAATAGTTATCGGGGGCTCCTTCCCCGGGGGTAAAGCGACCGGGGCTTCAACCTGACCAGTCACCTCAAACTTAGTGCCGAGGCCAAGAATATTCGTATGTGGACTTATGCATCGGTTCCCCGTAAGCTTTCATGTCGTTGTGCTTAGTTAAGCGCAGTCAGCTTTACTTCGGGGTTATTGGCTTAGTTTATTCTACTGGATATTCAATGCGAATATCGGTAGAGAAACGGTAAATTTTGGCTGAAGATATTCCAGGTTGTCAGACAACTGAAGATCCTCTCTGACTGTTAAATAAGAACAGGAGGAACACAAATACAACACACCCACAAACAAACTTCGGAGTTGGTCTGAGAATTTTATAACAATATCCGTTACACCAAACATAACTCCAGAAGACACATTGTTTACTTTACCTTGTTGTATTAGGGTTAATTGTGAACAAAAGCAAAGAATGTATACAGACGTATCAAAACTTCTTTTGGGGGGGGGGTGTTAAGCAAATTATACTGATGACGGCTGATGAACATTAAAAAGAATTTATTGTTATTCAATCATGTACAATAAATACATTATTCTTTTTAACTATATTGTAACAAATTAATTGATGTCAAAACGCAAATCTGTTTAGCATGTGACCCACAGTGAAAGACTTCTGGATGAATACATCCTGTGACAAATGAACTGTCATTTTCCTCACACGCCATGGAAATATAACAGCCATTTGGGGATGTTGCGAATGTGCAAATACTCTTAATATAGGAAACAAGCCTTGCCATACACTTCATAGCGAGATGAGCAGTCAATTAGGAGATATCTCCATACTTGTTCTTAAGACCAGAAATATCAGAGAGACCCATACGACAAAAAACATGACAGTACCGGATATATCGACGCTCTTGCTGTATCGACTTACTCTCTTCCTCATGGAGCTGAGCCCTTCTGGAGGAGCCGCCAATTCTGCAGCTACTCAAGAATTTCCCAGTAATTTATGGAACCCGAAGGTTCATTACTGTGTTCACAAGAGCCGTCCACTGGTCCCTATCCTGAGCCAGATCTACCCAATCCATCCCATTCCATCCTATCTCTCTAAGATCCATTTTAATATTGTCCACCCACCTACGCCTTGGTCTTCCCTGTGGTCTCTTTCCTTCTGGCTTTCCCACAAATATCCTATACGCATTCCTCGACTCCCCTATTCGTGCTACATGACCTGCCCACCTCATCCTCCTTGACTTGATCATTCTAATTATACTTGGAGAAGAGTACAAGTTATGAAGCTCCTCGTTATGCAGTTTTTTTTTCAAATTCCTGTAACTACATCTCTCTTTGATCCAAATAGTCTCCTCAACACCGTGTTCTCAAACACCCTCAGTCTATGTTCCTCCCTTAATGTTAGAGACCAAGTTTCACCCCATACAGAACCACAGGCAAAATTATAGTTTTTATATTCTAATTTTTATGTTTTTCGACAACAGACGAGAAGACAAAAGGTTCTGGACTGAATGGTAGCAAGCATTACCCGACTTGCTGTATCAACGCATACGTAAATTTCGTTTATCATGCATATTACTTTTCAGAGTTCATAACATTTCGACAATGAACAATCTCATACTTAAAATCCTTTTAGAACTTAATATTCACTTCGAGTTTCCTGGGTAGAGCACCGTTTTGATATATAGAAATTAACGATGTTTCGAAGCAAAATCTCCCTCCTCTTATGGAGTCAAAGAATTAAATGTTTATATTTCTGTCAGATTGCTAACCCTGGTGTGTCTTTACTGAATACAGACATGCGTGAACGCTTCAAGTCTCATTTAGTGATACCAACTTTTTTGTTTTTACATAATTTATGGATTAATATTTTTCAGAATGCACTTAACCACCCTAATTCTTTTATCACGTCATTTCGACCCCAGGCCTGCTCGATGTCAGTCGGCATCGCGCGGAAAATATTCAAAATGGAGGTTAACAACACGCCTGACAGACAAAATCAATTTCTGCAACTAGGAAAGTTAAGTGAAGATCTCTGCTTCAGGGGCAAAGGCGTTTCTACATTCCATTTACTGCAATACGGTGATGCAGTCACTACATCCCAAATGCTCAGTCCCTCAAGCATTCAGCCAAGCTAAACTTCGACAGAATACATTTGCATATTTCGTGGAACACAGCAAAATAACCACGATTTGTACAACAGTCTCTTATATGGAAGTGTGGAGACTTACATCACCAGTCCCCAAAGCAGTTTCTTGTTTCCAGTCAGTTAAACGACTTCAATTATTTCATCTTCTGGTGGCCGATTTCTTATTCTGCGTATATTCGCAGGACTGGGATTACCAGGTACACACAGTTCTATTGGAGATTCCAAGGCGTCCCTAGACTGCACCCACATGTTTATACATTGCGTTACCTTTTTGTCAAAATAAGCTCTTACGTGCTTCCTCAGGTTTGAGGACCCCGTAAGCAGTAAGAGGGGAAGGATGCATGAGATAGAAAAGATCTCGATCCACACAAGGAAGAAGTCCAGTTTTCCTTCTCGGCACATATGTTCTATATTATCAGCATCAAGTTCCAGTTTAGAGGGTTCACTGGAGCTCAGCTTCGATGAGCAAATGATGACAGCGAGAACGGAAGGGAGGCGTCCCAGGAAGGGAAGAACGCAGCTGAAGAACAGGAGCACTTGACCACGCCGTCCGGTTGGAATAACTCTGGATGGAAAGGGATATTCATCCTCTTCGTGGCAGGAGTGTTTCTGCAGAAGAATGAGGACGTGGCTGAACACCGTGGCCAGTAGAGGCACCAAGTAATAGAGCGTCAGGGAAACACTGATGTAGCCCTTCACATACCGCGACCCTGGATCCAGGATGCACAGCCCGCTTTCTGCAACGTCACCAAATACAAATATCCCATAATCTGAAACATATAAATATTATTTATCTAATGTATAATGGATAGTCTCTTTCCAAAAACAGAGATACCATGTATGCGACCACAAGACGAGGAAAAAGACGTAAGAAGATGCTGGATGACCTTGGGGACAGAAGAGGATATTTTTATTTGAAGGAGAAAGCTCTAGATCGCATTATTCCGTATTCCGTATTGAAGGGGTGGGTTTCCCCATGCACTTAGACCGGAGAAGCTAGATCGCATTAAGTGGAGGAACTGTTTTGGAAGAGATTGTGGACCTGTCGTATGATAGATTACTGATCAAAAAAAATATGCGGGGTGCACGCGGTAGCGTAGTTGGTTGAGGCCTTATGCTACAAGCCGGAAGGTCGCGGGTTCAAGTCTCGATTAGGTCATTGGATTTTTTTAAATTGGCCTAATCCTTCCAGCCGCACTATGGCCCTGGGGTCGACTCAGTCTCTAACAGAAATGAGTACCAGGGTATTCTTGGGGATCAAGGGCTGCCGGCTCGTAAGGCTGACAACTTTGCTGCCATCTGTGAGCCGTTATCTAGAAAATGTGGGAACCTCAACATCTCACAACTCTACGGGCCTCCACGGCCTATTGCAGGGATACCTTTACCCTTTTACTTTAATGTACATAGGGTAATTGTCTATGTTTCATGATTCTCACTGCTGACTCGAAAGAGGAGGCACAAGAAATTATGTAATGCTGTCTGTAAGGCTTCTGTATCCACGTTCTTGGTTTTTGTTTCTAGAAATCTTTGCTGGTGGAGCCTATAATCAGTTGAAACATCTCCATAAATTAAGAAAAGGCATGTCAGTTTCCGTAATAAGGAAGACTGTGGACATCAGCTGATAAGTTGAGGCGGAGTCTGATGTAAAAACATTTCCTTGTGTTCATGTGATGATGAGATGTTGCGGTATACTTGGACATGGAAACTTTTTATGGTGAGCTTGAAGCACGTAAATTTAATTACCTTAACACCGTATGTGATACAAACAGTATGCTGATGTATGGACATGTGGTTAACTAATTCCAAGGAAAACAAACTCCTTGGTTTCAGTCCGCATGCGAACTATACCGACCGAGCGACCGCCGCTTGTCGGCGAAGTTAGTGCCAAATTTAGCGGAGAGAGGGTATCGCGTGGTCAGCCCAACGAATCCTCACGGCCATTAATTTAGATTTTCTAGACCGGAGCTGCTATTTCCTTAAAATACCTCCTCAATTATCCTCACGAGACTGAGTGGACCCCGTTCCAGATACACTGCTTCTCAGAAAATCTGACAGCGCCAGGAATCGAACCCGGACCTCTGGATCTGCATAAGGACTCTGCTTCAATAAAAATAGGATACACTTACAGAACACTTATTTTGGGACATTCTTATTCTTCACCAACATCAAATTTTGAAACTGGGCTGGATTCGAAATTTTGAACAGATATACGAACACAGAAATGTATCTGCTCATATTATTTTATTTATCTATTTATTTATTTATTTAATTCTTGAAAATTTGGCCGGCACATTTAAAATTCCAGGCTTCTAAGAGTACACATAGCCTAAATACCAAAAACAATTGTAAGATTTAAACAAAATATAATAATAACTTTAATATTTTTGTTGCCTCAAATCCTATATGAAAACATCGTCTATTCCGAGCACCATAATCTCGATTAGTGAAACTGAACGTTACAACGTGATGGAAGAAATATGTCACAATTCTTAATCCGTTACTGTCATGTATCATGATCTATGTAGAACTGTACATAACCAACAAAAACGAGGTGTATTTTTTGTACAAGGAAGAAAGTGCAGAAAAGCACAACAGGTTGAAACAGAAAATAAACTAGTGATGCTATCTGAAGGACATCATGAAAAAAACTAGGTAATCCAAAAATGCAAGAACTAAAGTGTCCAAACACAATTTTTGTAATAAAGCACTGTATAATGAAACTGAATTCTCCCCGAACTGTTTCCATATTTTGCCGCTGGGGCGGGGGGGGGGGGGACAACGTGTTAGCAATTCATAAAGTTTAATAACTTCGGATCCATACATGAGGGAAGACAGCCGTAAACGTCATCTGGAAGCGCAATTCATAAAGTTTTTAATTGTGATAGAAGTATCGCTCATAAGTCTTTAATGCTAAAGTTGTTACTGTCTTTTTTATTTCTGTTATTTTTTGTTTGTTTTATTTCGAATCCTGCTACAGAACAAATTGGAAAATACGAACATAGAAGACAAGGTTAACTGTGCCTTATGGTTAGCAGAACTGAGATGTATACCTACAGTGAGAAGGAAATTAGTTGCTGAATACAGTAAAAACGTATCACATATGAATGGAGGTAACAGGCGAATGAATAAAAATGAAAGCAGCTGGTTAGCTGAATAAAATATGGTTCTATGGGAGGCCTTGAACCAGTGAAGAACCCGTGGCTGTTTTCCAGGAAGTGACGAAGATAAGACAAAAAAGTGTCACGACTTTGATCTGGTGAATTTACATACCGCAATCAGCAATAATCACCACATTAATGTTAAATGAGCAGGCTTGGACGAATTTTGGAAGTTAAACGTTTACAGGAGGACTAAAACGAGAGGTTACACTGTCCACAGTTTAAATCAAAATTTGACAATTGCCTAGGAATCCTTGAGAAAGTGACACCTTCTGACAAAGCAGCATTCCAAATTAGTGATAAAGTTAGCTATCACAAATGTAAAATTTGGGGAACCGATGAATCTCAGGAAGTCTGGAAACATGAATTTCCCCCAAATTAAATATCTAATGCACTCTCCGGAAGCCATGCATTATTATGCCTTTCTTTTTCGATAAAGCAACAGTCAACTGGCAGAGTTATTTTGCAGTGCTGTGGATTTCGTTTATCCCTAAAGTGCAATGATGAAGTCTTTCGGATAACATCTCCCTCCGACAATATGGCGGCACTCCCTGCTAAGACAAGATGGCGACGCTCCTTGCTACTATGCAACAAATGTGTGAGAACCCTTGAATGACTTCTTCAAAGACAAAAGGCTCTGTAGATCTGGACCAACTGCTTGGCAAACATGTTCATCATATTATTGATCATTATATTTAATTCTATGAGGCCACGTTAGAATTACTGTTTACTCACAAAGACTACCTTCTTTGAATTGGGTTAGGATTTGAAATCGAATTAATGAAGTCACTATACACAACAGGGACATCTTTTCAGCGAGATGGAAAATTGGACCGACCTAAGTGTCACGATTTATAAACCTATAAATTTTAATTTTTATTTTACCGAAAACTATATGAATTATATTTGCACGCAACATCTACTACAATATGCTCCCATGTGTGTCCATTAGCCTAATGATTTTGCAAGCACCCGGGTGTATTGAAAACATGGATGATGACAAATTTTCTATCCAATATCTTAGTTCGAAGGACGGTATAATGAGAGATACTTCGGACGTTTCCTCAGTTTCTCTCATATGAAGCATGTGGACGATATCTCACCAAGTTTTAAGTAAACGTTTCATCCAAATTAGGGACAGAAAACTAAATTATTGTTACGTGTATCACAGTGGCTAAAGACGCGGTTCGGATTGGTAATTTGATTTATTAACAATTTACTGGTTGTAATTACAATTAATTATTACACTATTGCTGCTTTACACAATACACTTAAATTACTCCACACTGTATTCAGTCTATCTGCACTAGTCTCCACGGGTTTATAACACGGGAACTATAACAGTCTCACTGAAACACACATTCCAAATATTGCGCATTAATATAAAGTCTTCTAATCACACGTTAATTCTTTGCGGGCCGATTTCTATTTATTCTTCAACTACGAATTTCCCACGGCTATCTCCTACCGAGAACTGACTTGCTTGCTTGATCGCGTGCTTCTGCCGCTACTAATACTCCAACGAATTCTGCCACTTTCTTATATAGCCACAGAATGTACATGGGCCTGCAGTAAAACACGTATCACGTGATTGCTATCCAGCCAGTCTACTGACGCACGCTGCGCGGACATACAGCAAACACATGTCACGTGATCGCTACCCACTTTGCGTGACGTCACAGCGGACACGGAAAAACAACTTCCTTTATTTTTGCACGTTGGACTGTATTTATAGAGCTGTTGCCTGGCAACGCTTTGGTCAAATCCGTTGCAAAATGTTGGTGTAAGTGTTGCAGGTTCTACTTTTAAAACGTGCTTTAAGGTGCCATGTTGGCATACTTAATGAAGGACTCGTAAAAATGTTTAAAACTATAATTTGTGGCACTTATATTGCCTTCAAGAGGCATATGATTACTAAAGTAAATAACTGAGAGGAGTGGCTATTCGCTCTAGTATTTTAAAAGGCGAAAGACCACATAATGCCCTATAACTGGAGATGTCCTCTCTTGCTCACACACTTCTCAAATTACCACTATAATTAAATCCTAATAATACAATTTTATACAAATTATGTTTATATTTACTGATTTCTTCCATCTGAATTAGGTATCAGTGCCATGGTAGCTCCCATAACTTAATCACCACAACAGCGCCATGCACGAAGTGAAAAAAATTAATCTCTATGTAGTACCTTATACTCTCCTGCCACGTCTCAGTATTTTATCTTTAAACCTGAGAGCGGAGGATATTTGAGGACAACGTTTCACACTCAAAGGGAGCAATACATACAGCGTAACCGTTCACTGAACTCACCTGAGGAGAATATGTACTGGCCGTTGCCGTACAGAGGACCCGTGGCGTCAGTGATGAGCAAGAATATCACACCCGTCTGGATCACGTACGTGTTAAGCCAGGAGAAAGTTAGGTCATGCTCCTCGGGCCTCGTGTACTGCACAAATCTAGGCAGACAAGATCATCAGTCCTCAGATTATGGTATTGGAATACAAATGCTTCAGGCTTCAGGTGCGGTAGGACTACAGACGCTGGCTAGATATAATGGCAAGCATCTAGACAGCTAGACATTATGGCATCCAATTAAAATTCCTAAATGTACCAGGAAAAGGTCAAAGGTTAAGAAATAAAATTTTGGTTTTCCTTCCTTGTTTTATGGGGAATGGTTTAAATGGGAAAAAATATGCGTATTTTATTATTATTATTATTATTATTATTATTATTATTATTAGTAGTAGTAGTAGTAGTAGTAGTAGTAGGCCTATTAGTATATTATTTTACTTATATTGCAAATAAATGTTTTATGAAAAAGGTACTCATTTTAATACATTTTATATGAGAAGTTGGCTTTCAGGCGTCATGTCACAATACTATTCTACCATCTATGTCTGGGTCTTCCTAGTGTTCTCTTACCTTCTGGCTTTCCCACCGAAACCCTGTATATATTCCTCTTCTTTCCCATGCGTACTAAACTCCCTGCCCATTTCATCATCCTTGACTTCATCGTTGTAATTATAATTGTTGCTAAGCACAGGTTATGGAGCAAAAAATTGCGCCGCGGAATATCAATTAAATCTGTAGACTATACCTGTGAAAAAATGTCACTTCATACTTTACTGTTCGCTGAGCTACGCAATTTGAATGCCACCAGATAGTAATTCTTTCACTTCTGTGAATCTGGTTCTTAAAGTTCTACTGTTATGTTAGTTAAATCGTTTTCAGTTTTACAGGCTCATGAATGTACTTCGAACCTAGCACTAGTCATGAGGTAATAAACGTTACCATTTCGTTCTTAAGTTACTTTTCAATTTATGTGGAATGCTATAATCCTTCGAAATCAGAAAATAAAGAGGTATGTAAAGTGTTCGATTGATTGTCATAGAGGTAAAATTTTAAATATAACAAACTTTAAGAGCAACTTAACACAGTGTAATAAAACTCCTTGACCTTCTGACTTACAAACACCACTAAAAGTCTCAGATCTGTACCATATATGATTAACTTGAATTAAACCGGAAAGAGAGTTGCTATATCTGTATTTACAGTCTACCATTACGTGTTGTAGCCACGAATATCTGCCATTAGCGTGAGACGAAAGTGAATTTGAAGAGCATCTATGTTAGAAACTCGGAAATCCTTCCACTTTGTATGGAACGTCTCAAAATTAACTGACGAGTGAAAGTCATTCAAATTGGCCTTCAGTATTTCCTTCTTGTTGTTACGTCGGAAGGACTTCATCGTCGCTATGCAACGCGAGTCAACGGCGATGACGTCACCAAGGGGTACCGCGGTTGCTATGCAGCGGCCATGATTGGAAAGGACATTCAGAGTAACTCATTTCTTAAAACAGTCTCTTTTTTGTGTTCCCTAGGGTGGGGTGAGACTGAGTCCACTTGGTACGTTGGCCACTGACTGGCCTATTGTACAAGCCCCTGATGATAGATGATGAGCGTGGAGCAGTTGGTGGAATGATAATTGGCAGGGGAAACTGAAGTACTAGGAGAAAAACTGCATCTGTGCCAATTTGTCCACCACGAATCCCACATGATTTGAATTGGGATCGAACAAGGCCACCGACTACACGGCGTCATATCCAAGACAACCATCTTTTCAAAATGCATATTTTTTTGATAAAGCATACAGCAATTGATAATCCTTAAACTGTTAANCACGAATCCCACATGATTTGAATTGGGGTCGAACAAGGCCACCGACTACACGGCGTCATATCCAAGGCAACCAAACTTTTCAAAATGCATATTTTTTTTGATAAAGCATACAGCAATTGATAATCCTTAAACTGTTAAATAAGCAAAGAAGAAAAGTAAAGGTATCCTTGTACCAGACCGTGGAGGGCCATAGTGCTGAGAGACGTAGAGGCTCCCACATTTTCTCTAGACAATCGGCTCACAGATGGGGGTGAAGTTGCCAGCCTTACGCTCCAAGCTATCCCTGTAACAGACCGTGGAGGCCCATAGGGTTGTGAGACGTCGAGGTTCCCCACATATTCTAGACAATCGGTTCACAGATGGCGGTGAAGATGTCAGCCTTATGCGCCGGCCGCCCTTTACACCCCCAGGAAGATTCCTGATATTCATTTCTGTTAGAGGCTGAGTCGACCCCAAGGACATAGTGCTTCTAGTAGGATTAGGTCAATTGAAAAATGTCAGTGACCTCATCGGGAATCGAACCCGCTACCCTCCGGCTTGTAGCATTGTGTCTCGACAATCTACGTTACCGCGTGCCCCAAAAGATTAAATAATAAAAATTTTTAATTTCCCTTTTCTTCCATTTTGTCTCCTTTAATAGCATAAGTAGCTTTAAAATCTGAGAATAACAATATACGCAGAGTTAACAAACACGGAGTACTGAAACTACCTCGGAGGTGAAAGTGTGCGGTAGCAATGCATCACATCTACCCTACAGACACTTACTGCAGTTGATGTCTTTACCGGCGCGAGTATCAATCCAGGCAAGCACCCAGTGGGAATAATTTGGCAATTCAAATTGCACTTAAAACGATGTCGCCTTTTTGCTACTTAAATTTTTACGTTTTTAAGGATTTATATAACACCCTGCCGAAAGAATTGCATGAAGATGATCTGAAATAAGAAAGTTAATTGCAGCTGGAATTTGCGACTACATTTGTCAGGATTTTAGTTGTAAACAAAGAATTGCAGCCATTAAAAATCTTGTTTCGAAGCAATTTCAGCGAACAATCGCAGGCTTCGCGCCTTCGTCTTTATTATGGCGAGTTTGTTGGTTCAGAACCTGGTGGGGCTATGTTATAAATTGTTAGTTTCTTGAGGAATTGAATTTAGACAATAATTCTTTTTTTCAAAATGTTTGGCGGCACGCGGTAGCGTAATTGGTTGAGGTACTATGCTACAAGCCGGAAGGTCGCGGGTTCCAGTCCCGATTAGGTCACTGGATTTTTTAAATTGGCCTAATCCTTCCAGCCGCACTATGGCCCTGGGGTCGACTCAGCTTCTAACAGAAATGAGTACCAGGAATATTCTTGGAAGTAAAGGGCGGCCGGCGCGTAAGGCTGACAGCTCTGCCGCCATCTGTGAGCCGATTGTCTAGAAAATGTGAGAACCTCAACATCTCATAGCCCTATTGGCCTCCACGGCCTGTTACAGGGATAGCTTTACCTACTTTTTTACTTACTCAAAATGTGATTAATTCAACAATCCTGTGAGCGCAAGAACCGGTATAGTGAAGTCAGTATAGAGACTGCCTACGGAGTGGACGGCCGAGGGGACGGATTTCGAGTCCCGGAAGGAGCAAGATTATTCTCTTCTTCACGTCGTCCAGGCCGGTTCTGTGGCCCATTCATCTTTCTGTAAAATGTGTAACGGGGACACTTTCACCGGGTGGGGAAATGAGGCGAGAGCGTGAAGCTGACCACTCATCTTGCCACGGCTTAAATAGAGATATCACCGAAGCACCTGATTGGAAATTCTGAGTAAAACTACAAATCCCCTCAGTCAAGATAATTGATGTTACAGCAGAAGTTCGAACCGGTGATCTCCTGTTTACAATTCAGAACCACTGAAACTGCTCAGTAGCTGAAAAAGAAAGGCAAGTTAATAAAGGACTACACTGAGTTCAGGATTTGCGTAAATGCAGGCCGTTCTTTTGGCAGCTCCACCTGGTACCGCGGTATGGAAAAAGAGATAAGAATTTTATAACACTGCCCCCATGTTTTAGCTGCTTCCGTGAAGAACTGATTAAAAAACTCGAATATAACTTCAGCTGCACACAAAGAATAGGATTTGAGGGGGCAAAAAGAGCATGGTTGCTAACGTTAGAAAGTCGTTTCCTCTTTTTTTAAACATTATATTACAGTTTTATTAACCTTTATTAATGCCGCAGGTTCGTTACGCGTCGCACGTGTCAGGGTGGGAGTTTTCACTTGACGTTTATAAGCAAGTCATAATGTGTATATACACTTGAATTGTACGTCGTAATGTCAATTTTAAACGAAGTAACAAACAGACAAAGAGTACTTGTTTCCATCCAGCTTTGACTGATCTTGCGATAAGGTTTCTGACGTTATAAATTTCCAACAGTTGGGTCGATTTTAATTCTACGGTAAAGAAGGTTTTTTCAAACGTTCGTACGAGTAGTTCCAGAATGTGTCTGTGAACAACGCCATATTTGTCTACCAGCATGTAACACCTCGAGGAACACTGCAGGGAGTTTAATGACGCCTTACGTTTGGGGGGATATACAAATATTTCGGATGTATTTCAATCTTGGTTAAAATCGGTCCAAGATAACAAGTACTTCATATGATGAACTAAAAGCATTTGGACTCCCATCCCGGGAACAAATCGCTAAACAGCATATTTACTGGATAGAAAACTGGTTCAGGAAATAGCTGCAAAGAAAAATGAAATGGAAATTGAATGCCAACTTCACTTGCTTGCTTGGTTTTTCTGTTTTCGAGATAATTGAACTCTTTCTACAAGTCCTGCCTTTTTTTTTTAAAGAGAATTAAATTAAATGAGGGGACACTGACATCCAACTCCCAAAGGCCTATAAATAAGCTGTGATAAGCTTGCTTAATTAATATTTATTAGCCTACTTTCCTTGTTTCCCTGTAACAGGTCGTGGAGGCACATAGGGTTGTGAGAGGTCGAGGCTCCCACATTTTCTAGACAACCGGCTAACAGACTGCGGTGAAATTAGACTTACACGCTGGTCGCCCTTTACCCCCAGGGAGATTCTTGGTACTTATTCCTGTTAGAGGCTGAGTCGACCCCAGGGCCATTTTGCGGCTGGAAGGATTATGTCAATTGAAAAATCCAATGGCTTCTTCCGGAATCAAACCCACGACCTTTCGACTTGTAGCAGAGTGCCTCAATCAACAACGCTACGCGTCACCCTTGTTATGTAAGGACGCATGTTGAATACGTTACGTAATATGAAGTTCTTATAT